ACTCCCTAAAACCAGTTCTACTGAATAGAATTGTGCTCCATAAGGTTTTCAATGGCTGGTATTTTGGAAGTACATCACCAGGCTTTTCTTCTGCGGTGTCTTGGGGGTGGACTCAAACTTCCAACCTTTTGGTGTTAACTGTCTGTACCACCCAGGGGCTCCTACTCCTGCATTTTTTTTTTTTTTGGTACTATCCACTCTGTTTTACACTCACTGTACATCTCAATTTAGACCAGCCACATTTCAAGTGCTCAATAGCCAAAATATTAGACAACGTGGCTCTAGACCCTTCCCTCACTCAGAGCTTATAAACTGGCTCCCCCTCCCCCAAAACCTTTACCCATTTGCCAAAGAAAGGACTGCCAAGCCCTTTAATAGTCTCAAAGGTAGAAAAAACTACCTCCTGAAGGCATATGTAACTACTCAAGGGATACCTGTTTTCAGAGTGCTGATGTAAATTCCCACTGCTTCTCTTAGAAGTTTCACCCCTTCTTCCTTCATTAAGGCCACGAGATTTGTGTCAGGCTCATCTTTGGCAAGGCTCACACTAATCTGAGTGAAAGATCAGAAGCAGGTGGTAAATAACTTGAGGGGCACCCACACTGTGGAATGTGGGTGCTGAGCAATCAGATAACTGCTGACATTTCCAAAGGAAATGCATGAGGGTCAGGGTACTTGTACAATCCCCATTAATATTCCTTCACAAGTCCTCTCTGCCAAGGCAAAGGCAGCTAATGCTGGAACCCCTCTCACAAGCTAAAGCAAGTGCTAATTAAAGAAGTGCAAACTCCTGTGGACGCTCCTAATGGCACCACATACCTAGAAAACCATCTGCAGACTGGGGTTCTGAAGGTTTGGACCGACCTTGGGCTAGTAATCTTGAATGATAGGTCATTTTTTCTCATTTGAAAATAAAACGATATAGAAGACTCAGGAGAGGAGTTAGGAAGCACAAACCTCCACTTCTTCCACACTGTTTTCATCAGACAAATTGGGGATCTCCACATGTCCCTTGTACTGCACTCCCGACTTAGAGGTACCTGTCAAAAACAACACAATGCCATTTAGTCTCCTCCTTTGCAGGAAATGTCTTCTGCTCTGGAGTCCTAACTACTACTCAGCTTACGCTTCTTATGGAAAGCTGAACTGACCCTCTTTATTCTGAGAGAATGCCACAGGCCAGATCCAGCCAACCCCTTCCCCCTCAGAAGAAATGTCTTCATAGTGTGGGACTGAGATCTGCAGGGATTTGACACTAGCATGAATTTTGCCAGGGGGGACCTGGGTCAATAGCCAACAGTCAGTTCTGCTGTAACACTTGTTTTGAAACACAAATGTATTCAAATGAGGCTGAGACATTAGAGAACAATTTGATCACAATGCAAATTTCACGTGTGCTTATAAGCAATTTCATCTGTGAGAAAACTAGGTGAACAAAGAAAGCTGAACCGAGCTGTGCAGGATAAGTAAGACACACACCTCTCAAACATTTATCTACCAGCTGGGTCAGTTCACTAATGTTATGAGCCACACACCCACCCCATCAGGTGTCATAACTTTTCTTCCTTCACAGTAATTCACACGTTCAACCCTTCCAATGCCCACTTTCACAAATAAACTTCAGGTCCTTTTCAAGGTAAAGTGCCATATTTATTGTAGTATTTATGTATTTCTTATTGTTTAACACATGTAAAACTGTGCAAGTACTTTCAGTAGGTTTCTATCTTTTTTCCAAATGAATCATTAACAAAGTTTTTGGATGTTGTGTCCCTAACAGCCCATTTCCCCTGTAAACCCTGTAGTTTTCGTTGTAACAATTTACATAGCATGGTGATTTTTAAGAATATGTACGTCATGTTACAGAACTGACTCGATTTCAAAATTAATCAACAAAACATTGATTCACTTTCACTTCTCTAGGCCTCAGTTTCTCAATCTATAATAAGGGGACGGAGCAAGATGATAACTAAGGGTCTTTCCAGACTACCTTAAAAAACAAAACTTTTCTTAGGGGGGAAAATTTGACGGACAGGTTTTCGTATTTTTTTTTCCCTCCTTATTACCATTCACTTGGAAAAATGTTTATAGAAGCAAAAGTATATTTTATGCCCTGCCGCATACACAGACAATAGCTATCTCATACTGCTTTAAGTGTCTTTTAAAAGTCAGTCTCACATCTGGCAGGACCACCCAAGGGCGCACAAGCATAGTCCCAGTTCTTTCCTAATGGAAAGGACACTGAACTAGAGAATAAAACACCCCAAATTATAGCCACAAGCATCATTAGCACAGTGGTCTAACCTGTTAGATCCACACTGGTGAGAGTAAGAAAAGATCAAGACCAGAAATATCCCCACTCTCCTTTTAAATCATCCAAGAAGAGACAAACTAATCTGAGGAAATGTCAGGTGACTTTATACATCCCAACACAGACCAAGGCCCAAAGACACAGTGGCCCAGCCTCTTCACTGTGGGGCTTGTGAGGCCCAGAGAAGAAACCCATTTAGTGTTCACAGTGGCAGAGAAGAAGTTTCAACACCCAATACCACTTTACGTTGGCCTCCAAAGCAGCACTATTTGTCTTCTCCCATGAAGAGTTTACAACCTCTCTAAAACTGTTCTCCCTGGCTCCTGGCCAGCCAAAATGCAGATAACCCCTTCCCTGCCCAGCACAGACTCACCTGTCCAGTTCAGTTTGATGCTCCATTCATAAAAGAAGATAAGCTTGCCTTTGCGATTGTTAATGGATGCCTCCCCATCAAGCTTACTCACTTCTGTGACTTCACATTTGCCTTCCTCATTTTGCACCCGCACTGCCAAGAACAGCGTTTTCAGTTTATCTGTGGACCAATTTGAAGCATCTCTCTCCGTCCTGCAAAACAGAAACACAGCTATGGACAGCAGCCAAATGGAGGATACGTTGCTTGCTCTATGCAAGAGACCGCAAGGCTAAAGCAGACCTGATAAATAGTTTGAAAAGAACGTGACAACCCTTAGTCCCACTCCAGTATACCTGCAGACATGTTATTCTCCTTTAGTTTAGGACGGAAAACAGGAGTGACATATTAAGCCAACTAGGACAACTGCTGTGCAAAACGGTACAAATTAAGTGGAAAATTATGCTTCTCTTTCTCAGCCTGATGGTGCTTGGGTCATTATTTTCCATTTTAATATGGCGCACCTGTTTGACCAAGTGGAAAACTGTGCACATTTTGCTGAGGTCAGAAGCAGAACGCAGTACTTATCTAAAAGATCCAATAAGGAATAAACTAATAACCTTGACCTCATTAACAGTGTTCTAACCTGTCAAATTCAAACTGTACACATTCTGTGCTATCTAGATGGGCATGCAAACAATGCAAGGCCAGGTCTTCAAAACAAACAACAAAAACAAAATTAGATTAAGCACTCTGCATATGAGAGGAGAGAGGCTGAGATATAAAGAAAAACCACTATGTGCCTTCCAACCTACGAACTACTGTAAGAAACAACATGTACCTAAAAAACTGCAACGAAATAGAAGATACAATAAACACCATAATATCAACAAAGTTCAGTGGAGTTTAAGAAGGAATATTCCTTCTGCAAAACTTCATGACGGAGGGAAAGCTTTTTAAGAATGCTGAGGTTATAAAACCATAATTGCCAAGCAACGAGGGGCAGTCCCTAAAGTTACAACACGACCCATTTACTAGTTCCGGGTGAGAGGCCGCAGCGGCTTCAGCATCATTGAGCTCCGAGCACCTGCAGAGCACGTTCCAAACCTTAGCCCACAGGACTGAGGCAGTAACTTAATTTCACACTTAAGCCACAAAATGGGAATTCCAGCCTCCTTGATCCCGAGCCTTACACAGCATTCTCCCAACACAATCAAAGGTGGTACTTCTCTTTTGATCTCACTGACTCCTCCGGCCACGTGTGAGAAGAATCTCTCTGGTCAGGACGGATGCAGCAGCTAGAGAGTTACGCTCTTGTCTCTCTGAATCCCCCTCCTCTGAGGCGCAATTCTCCGTGTCGCCCCACCCCCCATACACTGAGATCGGGGGATGGTGGAGGGGCTTGGGGCTACGGACCCCTGCCCCAGGAAGGACCCACTCCACAACCGGGCAGGTGCTGCCTATGCCCCAGCTCTGTCCGAGCCGAGGTTCCAGGGACCCCGCAAACCCCGCCCAACCACAGCCCTCCAGCGGCCTGCCCCGCTGGCCCTCACCAATGCCAGTTGTTGACGTTGGTGGCGTCCGCCCGCTCCTCCACGATCCAGCGTGGGTCGCCCTCACCCCACTTGGCCATCGGCTCTCCGATCGCGCCGCCACCGGCTCCCAACCAACCACAGCCACAGCCACAGCCACAGCCACCGCCTCAGGACCGCCTGGTCCCAACCGCCCGGCAGCGCCTGGAAACTACTAGAAGCGGCCGCAGAACCTCCCGGCTTCCTTTTCCCTCCGCCCCTTACCCCCTCCCCGTCTTACTTCCGGCTCCTCCCCACTCCCACCGGCCACTTCCGTTCCAACTCGCTGGGCCGTAGGTTCCGCCTGTTCTAGTGTTCTTCAAGTCTCTCAGGTTGTCCCCAGAAGGCCCAAAATCTAATTCCTCACATGATGGTCCCTTACCCGTAGGGACACAAAGAACACGTCTCATTATTTCTCTGGCCCCTAAATCGGCGTTGCTAATCCTCATGGGAGTTGTAGTCTTGTTGGGTGACCCGCTAGATAACCGCGGAAGGTCGGGCCAAATAAAGGAAACCACCTAGGCACGGCGCGCTGGGGTTTCTGGGGGCTGTAGTCAAGAAGCCCCGTGGCCCATCACAACAGCGCCTGACGGCAAAGGGAGAAGAAACAACAACTTCCAGCATGCCCTGCGGCCCATTTCTTTATGCTTGTCTTTCTTACGTTCCCGTTTCGCCTCTTCTTTATGCCGCATAACTTGACTAGAAAGGCAGGTCCATCGGCGGCCGATCCTGGCGCTGCCATCAGAGGGAAGGTTCGGTGCAGCAGAGGTGAGGGTGTCTCAAACCCTTTGGGAAGCGTATCTGGCTGCATCCGGCCTCGCCGCATCCGGATCTTTACCCCCTCTTCTCTGAGGCGTCCCTAGACCCCGAGGCCTGGCTCTCTTTTTCCAGTCGGGGCGAGCCCTTGGGTAAGAGCCAGAGTCGCCTCCAGGTTGGGCTTCAAGGGAGCCCCGGTATTTGGTTCTGAACGATGAACCGCGGTGGAACATTTCCTCTACCAGGGATCTCCCAGGCTGTGGCGACTGCAGTAGATCTGTGGCGTCCAGGACGTTCCTATGAGCCCAGAGTGTCTCCTAGGTTAACCCACATTCCCTGGTCTTAGTTCACAAGCCTCACCTGTGTAGGCCTGGCTCAGAAGATGATAATCGAATTAGAATCTAACTTCTCAGTAGCTAAGTTTTGGGGTGCCCTGAGGCAGGGACCGTCTTGGTTGTGAATTTTTTGCTTATCCTTCTTCTTTGTCATGGCCTGTTCTCTGCTGTAGTTCCTACCACCCTACCTTGTGGTCTCTCGGTAAACAGGTGATGATAAGGACAAATCTCTGAAGTAGTTTAAATCATGTTGCAGCACCTTCCTCAGCCACTCTTAAAATTGTACCTGGTTGCTTTATAACTTCTGTTGTGTGCCGTGGAGTCCATTCTGACTCACAGTGACCCTATAGTACAGACTAGAACTGCCCCATAGGGTTTCCAAGGCTGTAATCTATATGGGAGCTGATCTCCAAGTCTTTTCTCCCCTAGAGGCTGTTGGTTTCCGACCACTGACCTTTTGGTTAGCAGCATAGTTTTTAACCATTGCGCCACCAGGGCTCTTTTTATAACTTCTAGAGCCTTTAATTTATTATCTCTTTACTAGTCAAGTAAATCTAGGTTGTGATTGGTGCTAGAAGTACAGATTGGTGTCAAGTATCCACAGCTGTTGCACAATTAAAAAGATTCCAAAAATCTTTTGGTGGATTTTATGGGATTTGTTAGACAATTCTATGCCTATCTGTAGATATTTGCTAACTATATTGAACGATGACCTTTACTCATGGGTGAAAAATCAGTAGTTAGAAGCACCATTCAAGACAGAATGGAAATGGTCTAGGAGTCAGAAAACCTGGATTGTAGTTTGAAATAAGAACAATTAACAAAGTGGCTTTGATACTTAATCCTTTGTGCCTCATTTTCCTCATTGGTGAAATGGAAGAGGGATCTGCCAGGTCTACCTTACAGGGTTGTTCTGAGGATCAAATGAATGACAAGGTGCTTTGTAAACTGCCAGAGACATTTACATGCTCTGTACACACTTGTGATGTTTGTGATGTCCACTCTTTGAAATTTTATATTATTTTTACCTTAAGGATTGTTTAAAAATACTTTCTTTTTAGCTTTTCCCAAGGTACCATGATGATTTAATAGTAAAAGTTAACACTGAGCATTAATTTTGTGACAGCTACTGTTTTAGGAATCCCTAGGTGGTGCAAGGAGCCCTGGTGGCACAGTGGTTAAAGCTCTTGGCTGCTAACCAAAGATCAGCAGTTTGAACCTACCAGCTGCTCCACAGCAGAAAGATGTGGCAGTCTGCTTCCATACAGATTTACAGCCTTGGAAACCCTATGGGGGCAGTTCCACTCTGTTGTATAGGGTTGCTGTGAGTTGGAATCGACTATATGGCAGTGGGTTTGGTTTTTTTGGTTTGGGCGGTGCAAACAAGTGCTCTGCTACTAACTGAAAGGTTGGCAGTTCAAATTCACCTAGAGGGACCTCAGAAGAAAGATCTGGCAGTACTTCTGAAAGTTCACAGCCATTGAAAACCCTATGGAGTGCAGTTCTGCTCCAAAACACATGGCGTTGCCATGAGTCAGAATCGACTTGAAGGCAACTGGTACTAAGTGTTTTACATGTATCAACTGGTTTAATCTTCACAACATCCTAGAAGGTAGATATGCCCATTTTAAATCTATTGCCATCAAGTCGATTCTGACTCATAGCGATCTATAGGACAGAGTAGAACTGCCCCGTAGGGTTTCCAAGGAGCGGCTGGTGGATTCGAACTGCCGACCTTTTGGTTGGCATCTGAGCCATTAACCACTGCACCACCAGGCTCAATGCCCATCTTGCAGATGAGGAAACAAACAGAAAATTGTCAGTGAGAGATCCTGTACTAAAAGGAACTAGCATTCAGTATGTATTTACCTTCTTATAGGCACTTTGTTAGGTGTTTCCTGTGTCCTTTTTATCTTTACTGCAACCCTGTGATTTAGGATACCATTTTCTCCAAGGCTTAGAAGTAAAGTCATTTACCCAGTTTGCTCAGAATTGGAGAAACCAGGATTTTAATTCAAGGCTTCTTTACTACAAAGACTATGCTTGTACAACTAAGAGGGTTGATTTTATCCCGTCTGCCGAATCATTTTTATTTGGTTTTGACTCCATGGAGTGAATTACAGAAAAGAATTTTTAAGCCACAGTGTAGGTTCAGTAGCAGTCAGCTATTAATGTCTGCCATAGGAAAGGATCAGATAGGAAATTTGCACCATACATTTGCCTTCCCTGTATCCCCTGAGTTGAAAACACATAGTTGAAGTAGGACACAGTGCAGAGTATGTTAAGGGCCATCAGAAGCCTCAGCAGGGCTTCCCTAATGAGTATTTCTCAAGTGTCTTTTGAGAAAGGTGCTATTCAAATGAAAGGAAAAGCAAATTGATCCGTTAAAATTTGACACTGTGTGGCCTTTGGAGTTATTTTTGGTGCTGTGGAATTTTTGGTAGCTCATTCTTGGCTTAAATTGGTGTTTTCACTCTAATCCAGCTGGCATCGATAATTTAGGTTGTAATTCTAGGGCAAAGCATTATTTCAGGGTGCAGTCTAATTTTAGAGTAGTTATGAGAAAGACTTATGGTCTTTGACTAATTCTTTATATACTTTCTTTTCTTGGCCATACCATCACTTTCCAAATTCTGACCAACAGTTATTAGTAAATTAATCATGACTTGAAGACTTGAAGATACAGACAGGCTAACTCTTTTTTAAATAATATTTTGTGTTTTCGGTGAAAGTTTACACAGCACGACAGGCTAATTCTGCTTTTTGAAATTGTTTTGCTTCCACTCTTTCAGGCACTTAACAGGCCAACATGAGAGCAGATATTTGTCAATTTTATTTACTGCAGTATCCCCAGAGCCTAGAACAGTGAATACATGAATTATTATTTATTTTGTGAATGCTTTGACTGGTCTTTGTGTATTCAACAAAGTTTGTGATGGATTCTTATAACACTTGGCTGCCTGTGCTGTTGTTATCTTTACCCACACTTAACGCTGAACACCCCAGCTGCATTGTAGTCTCCTGCAGAATAGGAACAATGCCTTGTCTGAGAGAGTACCTTGAACAAAGTAGGAATCAATGTATACTTGTGGCTAATTAAAGGATCAAAAATACAGTTTGATCAGTTGGAGACCCAGTGATTGATTTTATATAGCAGGTCCACTATTTGCTTTGTCAGATTCTTTTACACATCCCTGATTTCTGGGAGTTTGTATTGAAGGAACCTAGCTTTGAAGCTCTTTTGGGGGAATCGAGAAAAGGACATATTTCTGTCTTCCTCCCACTCCAGATGAATAGGACAAAGGGTGATGAGGAGGAGTATTGGAACAGCTCCAAGTTCAAGGCTTTCACCTTCGATGATGAAGATGATGAGCTCTCACAGGTAGGTTTGCTGAAGGTCACACCTTTTTACAGAGTGCCACTCTAAAATTCCTTCCCCTTGTATCCTAGGTAACCTGACTTTTGACCATGTCTCCATCAGGCTCAGAAATGTTCTGGGTCAGATCTTTAGAAGAAAGTTAAAGCAAAAGAGCCCTCAGGAAAGAGCTAAAAGGATTGTAAACACCAAGTCTGCCCTTCGTACTTTACCTTCATCAGATGATCCATTCTCCTTAGTTCCCCCCCCCCAAGTTTTTTATTCATGTGATATAATTTATTGTTTTTTAAAGATCAATTGGAAGTTTTGTCTCCACTTTATTGTGTCTTATTTTACAAATGGAGAGAAACAGATTCAGTTTTGGAGAGGTGAATAAACTCACTTAGGTTTACACAGTAAGGGATATGATTAGAACTCAAAAGTGCCTTTGGTTCCCCCTAACTCTTTTGCCACTGGACTGCAATGGTGGCTGAAAAGCAATTTGTTTTCTTGACAAATATCTAGCAGGCGAGGCTTTTGGTTGCAAAGGGTGAAGATGTTGGCCATCTTCAAGTCCCAATTCCTCGGCATTCTTGGTTGTAAAATAAAGAGCTGGGAAGGTGTGATTACCCAAGTGCCCTGCTTTATGTCCCTCTGCAGCTAAAGGAGTCCAAGCGAGCTGTGAATAGCCTTCGAGACTTCGTGGATGATGATGACGATGATGATGATCTGGAGAGAGTCAGCTGGAGTGGAGAACCTGTGGGAAGTAAGTAGAGGAGGCCCTAGGAGGGGATTGATATTCATAGTTCTTGTCACTGTATTGGAGGCTCCACTTGTTTGTCTCCTCAGTACTTGTCAGGGCAGGGAATGAGGTTAGATTATTTTCAGATTAGCATACATCTTTTCTTGGGGAAATAAACAGCAGTAGTTCCCCATGGCTGTCTAGGTCTGCTTTCTTAGGACTAATGCTTGGCTGATTATTTTAGACTCTTCTAGAGTGCTTGTTAAAACTACAGATTTCTAGGCTTAACCCCAGAGATTCTGATTCAGTAGGTCTAGGTGGCTCAGTTTTTAGTAAGCACCTCAGGTGATTCTAATATTCTGTTATATTTGGGAACTACTGACGTAAGTACTCATAATTGGTTGACAGAAGAGACTTCTCTAGCCAACAAGTCTCACTACCTAGCTGTTATATAATACCACTAAATACCTTTGTGAGTCCATCTGATTTCTAAGAATTTTTTTTTTCAATAAGGAAATAGTCATGTGATTTAAAAATTGAAAAGTATCAAAGGCATAAAATAAAGTTTTCCTCCCACGCAATCATGCATGTACCTAGTTCTCGGTCCCTGCCCGCCAGGAAAAAAAAAAACAACACTGTTATTTGCTTCTTGTGTATTCATCTAAAGATTCTTTTTGCATAGAAAAGCATATACTGCTTTTTTATGCAAGCAGTAGCATACTTTATACCCTGCTGTTTTCATTTGATAATATGATTTGGAGATCTTTCTATTTCTGTATATAAAGAGCTTTCTCGTTCTCTTTAATAGCAACATAGTATTACGTCATATGGATTTTCCGTAATTATTTAACCAGTTCACTACTTTTTTTTATTGTGGTAAAAATATGTATAGCACAACATTTGCCAATTTAACATTTTTTATACGTACAATTCAATGAAATTAATTGCATTCATCATGTTGTACAACCATCACCAGTATCCACTGCCAAATTTTTCATCTTTACTAACTACTCAATGCTTCCTAAACAATGACTTTCTTCTTTCACCCTTCCTCCTATCCCTGGTAACTGACTACTAATAAACTTTGGTCTCATACTTTTGCCTAGTCTAGATATTTCATATGTGGGATCATACAGCATTTGTGCCTGACTTTGCTCAGCATAATATTTTCAAAGTTCGTCAGTGTTGTAGTATATATCAGGACTTCATTTCTTCTTATGGTTGAGTAACATTCCATTGTATGCATTTATCACATTGTTTATTCATTCATCTGTTGATGGACATTTAGGTTGTTTCCACCTTTTGGCTATTGTGAAGAGTGTTGCAGTGAACATTGGTGTACATGTGTCTGTTTGAATCACTGCTTTCTAGTCTCTTGGCTATATATCTCGGAGTGGAATTGCTGGATTACATGGTAGTTCTAGGAGTCCCTAGGTGGCACAAATGGTTAAGTTCTGGACTAATAACTGAAAGGTTGTTGGTGCCTCGGAAGTAAGGCCTGGCAGTCTGCTTCTGAAAGGTCATAGTCTTGAAAACCCTATGGAGTGCAGGTCTACTCTGCACATATGAGATCTCCTTGAGTTGGAATCAGTTCAGCAGCAACCAACAACTACAACGTGGTAGTTCTATGTTTAACTTTTTGAGGAACCGCCAAACTGTTTTCCACAGTGGCTGTACCAGTTTGCATTCCTACCAGCAGTAGGTGAGGATTCCATTTTCTCCACATCATCACCAACATTTGTTGTTTTCTGTTTTTTTATCTTAGCCATCCTAGTGCGGCTGAAGTGGTATCTCATTGTGGTTATGATTTTCATGCTTGGCTGCTAAGCGAAAGGTTGGAGGTTTGAGTCCACCCAGAGGTGCCTCAGAAGAAAGGCCTGGTTATCTGGTTCCAAAAAATCGGCCATTAAAAACCCTGTGGAGCACAGTTCTACTCTAACACACATGGGGTTGCCATGAGTCAGAATCGACTTAATAGCAATTGGTTTTGATAATGGATAATGATGTTTAGCATCTTTTCATGTTTTTATGGGCCATTTTTATATCCTCTTGGGTGAAATGTCAATTCAAGTCCTTTGCCTGTTTTTTGATTGGGTTGTCTTTTTGTTAATATTGTAGAAGTTCTTTATATATTCTGGATATTAATCCATTATCTGATATATAGTTCCTGAGATTTTTCTCCCAGTCTGTAGGTTGTTTCTTCATTTTGTTATTAAAGTCCTTTGATGAACAGAAGTTTTTAATTTTCATGAAGTCCAATTTATCTATTTATTTTGTCTTATGATCATGCTTTTGGTGTCATATTTATGAATCCATTGTTATAAACTAGGTCCTGAAGCAATACACCTGTGTTTTCTAGTAAGAGTTTTATGGTTTTAGTTCTTACATTAGGTCCTTAATCACTTTGAGTTAATTTTTTATATTACGTGAGGTATGAGTGTAGCTTCATTCTTTTGCATGTGGAGATCCAGTTGTTGCCTACCGACTTCACTGTTGATGGACTTTAGATTATTTCCAGTCTTTTATTGTTAATATTGATATCAGTAACCTTATATTTTGCCCATATATGAGTATATGAAGGATAAATTCCTTAGTGGCAGTGAGTATTTGCATCTGTATTGCACAGATATTGCCCTCCACAGGAGTTGCACTAATTTATACTCCCACCAGCAATGTAGGAGGGTTTCTATTTCCCCACAGCCTTGCCAACACAGGATATTATCAAACTGTTTGGCTCTTTGTCCACCTTATAGGAGACCAGTAGAAGCTCAGTATACTTTTAATTTGTAACTATCTTTAAAAGTGAGATTGATGTCACTGAATTGTACATGTTAAAAATGTTAAAATGGCAAATGTTTTCTTATGTATATATTTACCACACTTTAAAAAAAAGTCAGGTTGAGTATCTTTTTATATTTTGTATTTTATTTTATATTTTTAAGAGCCATTTGAATTTCCTTTTCTGTGGTCCATTTATTCATGTCCGTTGCCGATTTTTTCTGTTGATTAATCTGTTTGATTTTATCCTTTCTTCCTGCCCCAATTTTTGGAGACCATGTTGGCCAAAGTACTAGGTGCTCTGGTGAAAAGCTGTTAGAGTTTATTGGAGTGTTGGATGTCTAGGATTTATTTTGGATGAGAATTGCTGATCTTGCAGGTATCTCATGGACCATCAAAGAGACTGCTGGTAATAGTGGGTCAACCCATGAGGGGCGTGAACAGAAGAGTCGAAACAACTTCTCCTCCTATGGGCAGCTGTCCAAACCTGTTTCTACCTACTCCCTGAGCAGCCTTTTTAAAGGTAAAGAGTGATAGTTAAAGGGAACCCTCCTTTTCTTTTTTTCAGAAAGATGCTTAGGCTATAATTTTCATTTAATTTGGAAGAAAAAGATTATGGAAAGATAAAGAATTACTAATGGAGCCGAAAGTTGGGGATTAGGAGTGGGAGAACAGAGAAATTCAGAGGGGTTACACTGGGTTTCTAGAAGATGATAAACAAAGTTGATATTAACCCTGTCACAGATACTGAAGAGATTTGCCTAGACCAAAATACTTCCCTGCTTTTTTAAAAAGGTATCTCAAATTTCTGAAGTTGAATAAAAGCTTTTTTAAGCCCTAAGTTCTCATATTGCATAATGTTCTCTACACATGCCCTTCACCAGTCTGGATCACTCTGACTTGAACTGTTAATCTCTTCCCTCATGTGTTCTTTACCTACAGGGAGAACTAGATTTGGAAGTTTCCAGTCCCTTTCTGATGGTAGGCACTGGACCCTCTTCTCTTGATTGTTGTGGGAGATATTACTAATCTGGGTTACAGTCTGGGGAGTCATGGGGACAGGTGGTAATTAAATGATCAGATGAACTTTCTTCTCAGTCTATGATTGTTATTAAAGAAATTTTCTGATGCTGTGTAAGGAGGTAGAAATTATTCTGGCTATGGGGTGAGGGCAGAGGCTGACTCCTAGGAATACTGTCTTTGGGGAGGAATTAAGACCCACTTTGAGCCAAAAAATGCCTTGGGAGCCCACAGATTTAAAAAAAAAAAATGTATTTGAGAAGGAAGCAGTAGGGGAAAGGGATGACAAGAAGCAGGACTCATAGTGCGCTTCTGAACCAGCTGCCTGGTTTTGTTTGTTTTTAGCTTTGTCGGACACATCTGCCAAAAGCTATGCTCCAGAGCTGGGGAGGCCCAAGGGGGAGTATAGGGTGAGTTATATCTTACACTAGTATGACATTTTACACCTTATAAAGTGCTTTGACGTACATTATTTTGCTTAATCTTCCCGTCTCTTTGCAGTAGATAGAGTAGGTGTTATTTTCACACCTCTTTAATGATAAGAAAACTGGATTTCTAAACATTAACACTTGCCGAGGGTCTTACAGGTAGTAAATTGCAGAACATTGGGCTCAAAATCTCTGTTTTCTGACTCCGTCCTAGCACATTTTTCTTACCCCTTATGCTGCCTTTTGAAGGCTGTACTTTGAAACTCAGTGATCATCACTGTGGCCTGGAAGCCTGGTGAAGCTCATATTCCCATGAAGCCCATTAAAAAAAAAAAAAATTAATTTGTAAGGAAGAAACTGTATTCTAAGGTCTAGAAAAAGAACATGTCTCAAAAGCACATCCCTCTTTCTGTCAGCCAAAGTTATTAATTGGAGTCCCAAAATGTGACTGTAATTGTATCTAAGGGTTGAAATCAGTAGGCATAGGTTTACTGGGTTTTTTGACAAAATGCTTCGTTCCTTCTCTGATCCATCTCCTCCTACCTGTAATGCCCCTGTTCTACTTCCTTCAAAAACTCAGAAGAAGACCATCCCAGTTCTTTTTTTTTCTCATCCATTCCCTCCCACAAAATATTTCCCCCTCGGGGATTAAGACTCTGAGTTTGAGGTGAAGAGGTGGTACACTGATATTCTGATCCCTTAACTTCCTGGGATTCATGTGTTGCTAATATTCCAGGATTACAGCAATGACTGGAGCCTCAGTGACACAGTGCGACGCCTCCGGAAAGGGAAGGTAAGAGGTAGAAATCTTGTGGAAATTTGGGAACCTAGGCAACTTGTTCTCACAGGGAGGGTTTCTTGATCTCTCTCCTCAGTTCTTATTAGTTAAATGAAGTAGTTTTCAGGAGCTAAATGGACCCACTAAGGTCAGAAGTCCCCAGGGTTTACTGTTACTTTAATGGAGTAATAGGGAAAGAGTTATGGATGAGAGGGGAAAGTACATTTAAGAGTGAGGGATCTCTTAAGTTTAGGTCTGTCATCCATTGTAAATTAATTTTTGTATAAACTGTGAGGTAAGGGTTGAGGTCAGTTTTTTTCCCACATATATCTTCAGTTGTTCCAGCACTCTTTGAAAAGACTTTTTACCTTTCTCTGTGAAATTAGCTTGGTGCCTTCATCAAAGATCAGTTGACCGTATAAGTGTGGCTCTATTTCTGGACTATTTTTTCTATTTTATCAATGTATTTGTTTATCCTTATGCCAATACCACACTGTCTTGATTACTGTAGCTTTGTAGTAAATCTTGAAATCAGACAATATAAGTCCTTCAGTTTTGTTCTTTTCCAAAATTGTTTTGGCTGTTCTAGATGCTTTGCATTTCCATGTAGATTTTAGTATCAGCTTGTCAGTGTCTACAAAAAATCTGCTAGGATTTTGACTGGGATTGCATTGAATCTATAGATCAGTTTGGGAAGAATTGACATCATAATAATTAATAAATTGAAATGGATCATAGAGCTAAATGTAAGTAAGTGCTAAAACTATAAAACTTCCAGAAGAAAATATAGAACACAAACAACATGAATCATAAAAGAAAAAAAAAAACTGATAAAATGGACTTCATTAAAAATAAAAACTTTTGTTTTTTAACAGCACTTTAAAAACATGAAAAAACAACCACATCTGGGAGAAAATATTTGCAAAACACATATATTATGAAGGACTTTTATCTAGACTGTTGTTGTTCAATGCTGTTGAATTGGTTCTGACTCACAGCGACCCTGTGTACAATAGAACGAAACACTGCCCAGTCCTGTGCCGTCCTCAGTCATTGTTATGCTTAAGCCCACAGTTTCTCCCCGTGTGTCTGTCAGTTTATTGTACTGTTGGGGATTGTGTGTTGCAGTGATGCTGGAAGCTACGCCACCAGTATTCAACTACCAGCAGAATCACCCATGGCAGACAAGTTCCGGCTGAGCTTCCAAACTAAGACAGACTAGGATAAAGGACCTGGCAGTCTACTTCTGAAAAGAATTAGCTAGTGAAAACCTTATGAATAGCAGTGGAACATTGTCTGATACAGTACCGGAAGATGAGCTCCTCAGGTTGGAAGGCGCTCAAAATATGAATTATCTTGAATACGTAAGATTAATTAAGCACTTGGCTGCTAACCGAAAGGTTGACGGTTTGAACTCACTCACCAGCTCCACGGGAGAAAAGCTTGGCGATATGCCACCATAAAGATTACAGCCAAGAAAACCCTATGGGGCAGTTCTACTCTGTCACATGGGGTCGCTATGAGTCGAAATTGACTCTGCAGCACCCAACAACAACAATCCAAAACAAAAAGAACTCCTTGCAAATCAGTTATAAGATAGACAATCCAATAAAAAGTGGGCAAAAGATTTGACTAGTCACATCACAAAAGAAAATATATGGATGGTCAGTAAACACTTGAAAAGATGTTCAGCATCATTAGTTATTTAAAAAATGTGAATTAAAACCATGAGATACCATCATACAGCCACTAGAATGGCAAAATTTAACAAGACTGAGTATGCCAAGTGTTGGGAGTATGTGGAGGAACTGGAACTGTCATACACGACTGATGGGCACGTAAAATAGTAAAACTACTTTGGAAAATAGTCTGGCAGTTTCCTACAAAGTTAAACATAACAATTACATGACCCAGATAGTTCACTGTGAGGCATTTACAATCCAAGAAAAATGAAAAATTATGCCTGCACAAAGACTTGTATACCAATGTTCATAGCAGCTTTTGTTCATAATAGCCCCCAAAGTGGAAACGATCCAAATGTCTATCAGCAGGTAAATGGATAAATAAATTTTGGCATATCTCTACAATATAAAACTACATTGCAGTTAAAGGAACAAACTACTGATACCACAACACGGATCCATCTCAGAGACATGATGCTGAGTTAAAGAAGCCAGACACAGAAGAATACATATTGTGTGATTCCGTTTTTATGAAATTCTAGAAGAGGTAAAACTTTATTGACTGAAAACAGATCAGTAGTTGCCGGGATGGAGATGGAAGGAGGGCATTGACTTCAAAATGCACAGGGAACTTTTTGGGGTGATAGAAATGTTCTTAATCTTGATTGTAGTGGTGGTTATGTGGGTGTATACATTTGTCACAACTTTCTGAACTGTAGACTTAAAGAGAGTAGATTTTATTGTATCTAAATTCTACCCCATTAAACATTTTTAAAAGAACAAGTGATCTCTCTACTTACTGACTTTACCAAGACTTCATCAAGACATTACCATCTTCTAGTACTGTGGTGGCTTTCATGTTGTTGCTGTGATACTGGAAGCTTTGACACCAGTATTTCAAATACCAGCAGGGTCACCATGGTGGACAGGTATCAGCGGAGCTTCCAGACTAAGACAGACTAGGAAGAAGGACCTGGCAGTCTACTTCTCAAAAATGGGCCAGTGAAAACCTTATGAATAGCAGCAGAACGTTGTCTGATATAGTGCCAGAAGATGAGCCTCTCAGGTTGGAAGGCACTCAAAATACGACTGGGGAAAAGCTGCCTCCTCAAAGTAGAGTTGACATTAATGATTGTAGATGGAGTCAAGCTTTTGGGACCTTCATTTGCTGATATGGCACGACTCAAAATGGCAAGAAACAGCTGCACACATCCATTAATAATTGGAATGTGCAATGTACGAAGTGTGAAACTAGGAAAATTGGAAGTTGTAAAACATGAAATGGAATGCATAAAGATTGGTATCCTAGGCATTAGTGAGCTGAAATGGACTGGTGTCAGCCATTTTAAATTAGACAATCATAAGGTCTGTCATACCGGGAATAACAGATTGAAGAGGAATGGTGTCACATTCATCGTCAAAAAGAACATTTCAAGATCTACCCTGAAGTACAGTGCTGTCAGTGATAGGCTAATATCCATACATCTACAAGGAAGACCAGTTAATAGGACTATTATTCAAATTTACACACCAACCACTAATGCCAAAAACTGAGGAAATTGAAGATTTTTACCAACTTTTTCAGTCAGAAATCGATCAAACATGCAATCAGGATGCATTGATAATTACTGGTGATTGGAATGTGAAAGTTGGAAACGAAGAAGGATTTGGTAGTTGGAAAATATGGCTTTGGTGATAGAAACAATGCCGGAAATCGCATGATAGAATTTTGCAAGACCAACGACTTCTTCATTGCAAATACCTTTTTTCAACAGCATAAATGGCGCCTATACACATGGACCTTACCAGATGGAAAACACAGGAATCAAATCAACTACATCTGTGGAGACAATGGAACAGCCCAATATCACCGGTCAGAACAAGGCCAGGGGCAAGCTGTGGAACAGACCATCAATTGCTCATATGCAAGTTCAAGTTGAAGCTGAAGAAAATTAAAAGAAGTCCACAAGAGCCAAAATATGACGTTGAATATACCCTACCTGAATTTAGAGACCATCTCAAGAATAGATTTGACTCATTGAACGCTAATGACCGAAGACCAAACAAGTTGTCGGTGGCTACCAAGGAAATCATACATGAAGAAAGCAAAAGGTGATTAAAAAGACAGGAAAGAAAGAAAGACCAAAATGCATGTCAGAAGAGACTCTGAAACTTGCTCTTGAACGTCGAGTAGCTAACGCGAATGGAAGAAATGATGAAATAAAAGAGCTGAACAGAAGATTTCAAAGGGCAGCTCGAGAAGACAAAGTAAAATATAATGAAATGTGCAAAGACCTGGAGTTAGAAAACCAAAAGGGAAGAACATGCTCAGTATTTCTCAAGCTGAAAGAACTAAAGAAAAAATTCAGTCCTTCTAGCCTGAGGAGCAGCCGGGGGCAGAGGCCGCAAGGAAGAAGCTTTGTGGCTCTGACACAGCTCCTTGCTGGCCTGGGTTTGGGAAAGGGCCAACCCAGAAGCACATCAGGGATTTAAGAACTGCCTGGTTTCATACATACAGCCGCAGGACTCTGGAGATAGGTGCTAATTAAATGTGGTTGACAAAATGGTGTCAGCAGTCGAGTGGACAATGCCCTTAAAACTTTTTTGTTTTTCCAAAATTTAAGCCTAATAAAACCTCTTGTAATTGCCTAGCTTTTCTGTAAGTCAGGCCACCGTTGTTGACCAGTGAGCTCCTTAAATTGTATGAGCTAATCAGAAATAAGCTTTTGCTTCCTCATTCTGTCAATAAAAGCCAATCACAGCTGATATTCAACAGAGTTCCTTTCCACATGTGGATTGGTGCTACCCAATTCTTGGATCTTCTACCTAAATAAAACTCATCCAACAGATTAAAAAAAAAAATTCAATCCTCGAGTTGCAATTTTGAAGGATTCTATGGGCAAAATATTAAATGACACAGGGAGCATCAAAAGATGATGGAAAGAATACACTGTACCAAAAAGAATTGGTCAGTGTTTGACTGTTTCAGGAGGTAGCACGTGATCAAGAACTGATGGTACTGAAGGAAGAAATCCAAGCTGCACTGAAGGCATTGGCATAAAACAAGGCTCTGGAATTGACAGAATACCAATTGAGATGTTTCAACAAATGGACGGAGCGCTGGAGGTCCTCACTCGTCTACGCCAGGAAATTTGGAAGACAGCTACCTGGCCAACTGACTGGAACAGATTCGTATTTGTGCCCATTCCAAAGAAAGGTGATCCAACAGAATGTGGAAATTACCAAACAATATCATTAAAATCACACAAAAGTAAAATTTTGCTGAGGATCATTTAAAAGTGGTTGTAGCAGTATACCAACAGGGAACTGCCA